GGAGCAGAGGAAAAGAGATGTTAAAGTTTTTCCTTGTTTGTATGTTTAATATTGAGAGAGAAGGGTACCAGAGAATTTAATCATAAATAATATTATTTTCTTTTATATCTTTTATTCATATTTTTTTCAAAATACAAAAAATTAAATATTTTTCTCTCTCTAAAAATTAATATTATTAAAATAAAAAAATTTTATTTTTATAATTGTTTAAAAATATTCTCACTTTAAAAACCAATATATTTTGAAAAAAAAAAATTCTAATTGTGAAAAAGCACGAGAGAGTGGAAAAGAAAAAACACTCGGAGAATTCAAAAAACTAATGTTAGGAGGGTTTTAGGAGGTTTAGAAAAACTTCCTAACTCTTCTCCTATTTAGTTAACTTCCAAATGGGAGTTAAACTCTACTAACCCCTTTCCTTCCCCTCCTAAACGTAACATCCAAACATAGCTTAAGATTGTTAGGAGCAATTAGAAGAATTCAGTGAAAAGTCAACATCCTTTAACAAGTGTTTGCAACCCCAAGTCATGTTATCATTAACAGAATCTAATGAATTATAATTTAATTTAGCTTCTCCAACTTGAAAAAGAATCTTCTAGAATCACATACAGTCAAAGATCCTTTGAAAAATATTTAAATTGGAAGATGAAACAATGTGTTTCCCTACATGTTCAAGAAATATAAGGATAAATGCCAACACTTTAATCCTAATTGGGACCCTCTTCATACTCAATATCAAAATCACCACCATCAAAATCTTTACAATAACCATATTCAAAGCTAACATGAAGTCACAATTATTGACCCAAACTGAAATTGCGACTTCATCAATGTTTTGTTCTATCTACGAACTTAGCAATGAAATCTCAAAAAAAGGTTGACAAGGGAGTGATTGTCAGAAATGTTGTTAATGGATTAAGATATTGAGGTTAAGTAGTTTTTGAAGCAATATTTCTTGAAACGACTTTGGCGATTATAGAACAATGAAAATTAGGATATTTGGGAAACATAGTTTTTCTTCTACATATTACTTAATGACATTTTGTTGCTATTGTCCAATGATTAATGACATACATTATTGCCAGTTTGAGTGAGAGAAACTTAAGCCTAGAAAGCTGATATGTACTGTTATGTGAGGGAGAGGAAGTGTTTTGTTCATAAAATTCAAACAAAATATAGCAAGAAAACAATGTGAAAGCTATTTTCAAAAGGCTTAATTTTTTTTTATAATTATGTAATAAGTGTTTTCAAAATTGGTTAATATAGATATGATGTAATAAAGTTTTCATAAATTTAAAAAATGTCACTACCTTCTTTTTTTTTTACATCATTTGTTTCATAATTGATGCAAAAACAATGTAAAAGCTTATTGTAGAATGTGTTTCTTGCACTAGTGCCTCAAAGACTAAATTGATGAACAAAAAAAATTCCCAAGGACCTTTAAAGGCATTTTAAATTCTTAAAGACTAAAATTCTTGACTCCAACAATCTCCAGGACCAATTTAAAAGTTTATTCGTAGGATTCATTTACTAATTTCTAATGGTAGATGACTTCAACGTCCAAATTGATAGACAAAGGACAATCTTAAGGACCATTAAAAGTATAATAAAATTTAAGAGATTAAAATATCCGTAACACCTATAACATCCTTATTTTTATATTTATTATTATAACATTGAATGTTGATTGTATATGTGAAGTTATTTGAATTTTTTAGAGTTTAAATGATGTAGATTACAGATATCTCGCTGTAGCAAGATATTTCTCGTTGTGGCGAGAAAGTGCGTCCAAAATCAAGCTCTTTGATGCTCTCTTGCTGTAACGAGGAGCTCTCACTATAGCTAGAATGACAGATAGCAAAGTGAAATTTTGTTTAATTTTTTCAAGTTAGAAAACTTGGATTACAATCTAAGTTTTGAGCTCTCCTCTATTCTCTCGATTTCTAACCTCTCTTCTCAGAAAAATCTCCCCAAAACCTCAATTCCCCTCTGAATTCGAGCTTGGGAACTACATCAATCAACTTCAAGAAGATCTTGGTTCTTTCATCAAAACCTTTCATAAACCCTCTTTCAAAACTTCGTTTCAAGGTAATGAGGGCTCTATTTTGTTATTTAAAGCATAATAAATATTTTGTACCCATGATAGTACTTTGTGTATGTGTTTTTTATGATTTTTTATGATTGAATGACATTGGATTGTTATGAAAGTATGTTTAGTTGATTTTGGGTATTAATGATATATTCTGATAAGTGTTGGGAACTTAGCCCGGAAGTGCTTTACTAAGCACGATCTTTTACTTGAATGGTGGATTTGGTACAAAAAGGAGTATGGGATAAGTGTAAAAAGCTGAATGAAGCTAGTGTGAATAGTTACAAAAATACACTGAGGGTATAGAGTCTGGAAATGATGGAAAATCTAGGAGAAACATAGGGTGGTGAGCAACATTTGCACATGTGTACACACTCTTTCTGAGAGTGAATGCGCCATATGGCCTCACACTTGTTTTCTGACTAGACTCCTACCTATATCTTTGCTAAGAGGCCCGTTGTTGTATATGTTGTATCCGTATGCATGGGTAATCGACGACTATATACCTAATTGTGTAAGACCTCAAGAACTGCTGGAGGCATTGTATATCTGTGATCGCAGCACACTGGAAGTGCGTATATGAAAAAAGGGAACATAATGATTTATAATGGAATATATGTGTATTTAATACATTGTTGTTGAAATTGATGTTATCTTTTATTCTATGGTTATGATTATGCTGCAATGTTAGTCTTTAAATTAGTGTTATGTTTAAATGATAAAATAGAATCTCATCCTTACTAACATTTTCAGGAAATCAGGATGATAGAGCATCAGGAAAGAATTAGACTAATAGATAGTTTTGTACATAATAGGCTTAATTATGTGTTTAATGAATATTAGAGGACTTGTTATTTTAAGTTTGTTGTCCTTGTTGAAGATATAACTAGGACTTTTATCATGTTAGAGATAGATTTCTTTTATAGTATTCCTTTTGCTTTTCCTATAGGTAGAATACATCATGCCCTATGTATCCATATCTATAGAGGTTTTGTTAGAACTCCAATAGCCTTCACATATCTATTTACATATCACGACCATGATCATCTCGGAAGACTGTATAGATAGACTTTTGAGCGAGTTACTAGCACAGAGGTCACAGCTAATTCAGGTAATCGTTATCTTGGATCAGACGATGATCTTGATTCTAACGACCTAGTAGAGATTGAGAGTTGGCATGGAAATGAATAGTATCGAGTTCTCAATGTTGGAATATGTTTTGGGGCTGCTCTAGGACTTAAATTACTTTTTGTGATGTAATTATTTTGGTCATATAAATATTATTTTGAGTCCTAATAAGTTTGTAATTAGGCCCTCTTTTACAGTCATTTATTCATATTTGACCTTTATTTTTATTGGATTTTACACTAATTTATTTTTTAGTTGTGCAATTTGATATAAAGAGGCCATGAGTAGATTTCGATTCATTTTAGGCCCAAATGAATGGGTTTAAAAGCTTCACAGCAATATGCACGCCTAATGAAGCATAGGGGTGCTTTGACAATATGCATGACTGTGCTGCACCATCATGCATGGCCGTGCTTGTTTGCATTAGCCAAACTTGCCTAGTTTAAAGGAGTTCTAATTCTATAAATAAAGAGGGGGAGGCATCGTAGAAATGATCTTTTTCCTAAGCATCATTTCACATAAGGCCCTTCAAGATTCTTGATCACTTTCACCTCTCTTGAACAGACCTTTGGCTCACCCTTGGCGACACTTGGAGATTCAAGTGACCATACTCGAACACCGAAGATTCATCTCTTGTTCTCGTTTGCTTTTCTCTTCATTATGGATATGTTATTGATTATTTTAGCTTTCTCTTTCTACATGAGTAACTAAATCTATAGCTAGGGATATGAGAATTATTGTTCATGACTTTATGGAATTTTGATATTTGAATCTAAATTTGATTTCCGCTTTCGTAATTAGAATTTATCTTATCGTTTCTCATTCTTAACCCTAATTAATTACATCGTCAGGCAATCGTACCTCGGTTAATTAATAGATCTATAGGATAAAACGAGATAAAAGATTAGGTAGACCAAACCAATCTTCATCTTCTAATCGTTATTGAATTAACAAATTCATAGGCTCTTTAGGCTTTTTCTAATTGATAACTCGCATGACCATTGGGGATATTAACTTAAAAAAAAGAATATTAATATTGCATGACCAGTGGATATTAATAGTATTAGTATGAATGATTAGTAATCATCAGGAAATCGAATTTAGATCTAAATAGAAAAATAACATAAAGGATTGAATGAGAACACCCATACGCCCTTGGTTTCTCTCTGATAAGTGTAACCAAGACGTGCTCTGTGTTTCTTGCTCTTAGTTTTTACAATTGATTTTATAAATTCTCATCCTGATTAGTCTCGCATATTTGAAGCTCAAACAATTAAATTAGAAAAACTCTTAGTAGTTGATAAACAATCCTTGTGGGACGATATTTCGGGAACTTAGTTGAAAACTCTTTATTACTTCTCGATGGGTACACTTGCCCTCTGAATAAGTTTTTGGTGCCGTTGTCAGAGATTATTATTTTTTCAATATTAAGAAAATCTTGAATTTAATTGATTTGAGCAACTTGTGTTTTGTTTTATTTTGTTTTGTTCATTGTTAGAATTTTCTTTTATATTTTTATAATTTTCGTATTTATTTTATTCTCATTTTTTTAAATTACTTTTGATGTATGCTCACTCGTTCTAAGTGTTCTACAACTTATTTGTTTGATTCAAAAATTGAAAGGATAGTTCGTAGACAAAGAAAAGAAGTGAGGGAGCAAAGAATGGAAGAGGGAAGGAGATCGATCCAAGATTACATGACACCCAATGCCAGAGGCGCTCCTGGAAGCATTGCGGCACCTAATGTGGAGGCAAACAATTTTGAGTTGAAACCAGCACTCATAACCATGGTTCAGAACTCCATACAATTTAGGGGCTTGCCTAACGAAGACCCCAATCTGCATCTGACAAAGTTCCTCCGATTGACGGACACTATAAAATACAACGGAGTCTCCAACGATGCTATTCGACTCTGGCTATTCCTATTCTCAGTGTCTAAAAGAGTGAATGTATGATTTTTCTCACTCCCAGCCAATTCCATAACAACTTGGGAGGATCTCACTCAACACTTCTTGGGAAAGTACTTTCCTCCATCAAGATCTTCCAAGCTGATGACAGAAATATGTTGCTTTCAGTAAAATGAGACAGAATCACTATTCGAGGCGTGGGAGCGATTTGGGAAATTATTAAAAAGATGCCCGCATCATGACTTTCCAACTTGGAGGCAAGTGCAGATCTTTTACAATGGCCTATCCATCCATAACAGGGCCACGATTGATGCCGTCGTAAGAGGATCTCTTATAAGGAAAGACCCAGATGATGCATACAGATTGATAGATGAAATGGCATCTGCTAGCTTTCAGTGGCACACAGCTGACACAAATAACTTCAAGAGAAAGGAAGTTGCACCAGTCTATCAAGCAGAGAGCAACAACCCACTGGTAACCCAAATGAAAGCTGTCACAAAGCAGCTAGAGTGCTTAATAAGAGCACAAGATTAACCCACAAAGTCAGCACAGAATACATAGTTTGATCAGGAAAAGGCAGACTTTATGAGTAATAATTATAACCCAGGATGATGCAATAGTAATACAACTCCTTGGGGAAGCCGCCAAGGAAATCAGAATGCGCCCTATCGACCCCCCATGTGCAAAATCAAGGGGAGAAGCTAGAAAGAAGAAAAGCTCCTAGACTCCAATCCAATTTTCAAGATCAGATGATGCAATACGTGCATAGCTCTGACAAGAGAATATCAAAACTTGAGGCACAAATGGAACAACAGATTGAGAGGGAAGATAAGAGATTTGCATAAATCAGAGCTGAGATGAGGACTCAGTTCTTAAAGCTTGAATTCCAGTTAGAGCAAATCACTAGTCTCCTCAGTCAAAGAGCACTAGGAGCACTACCGTCCCAACCAGAACCGAATCCCAGGGAACAAGCTAAGGCAATTACTTTAAGAAGTGGAAAAAACTTGAATGGAACACAAACACATGATTCATGCACCCCTGTGCTTGTTGATTAGCACGCCCTTGCATCACCCTACACGCTCATGTTGGCTAACAAAGAATGACTATGCTTTGAACAACACACCGAAGACACGGCCATGCTGCATGATGAGCAAGGTCGTGCTTGCCACCCAAATACGAAGAAAGAAGCAAGGAAAGATACATTAGTGATGCCAAGGCCGAAAGTTCCATTCCCACAACGGTTGATGGGTAACTAAAGAGACCCTTAGTTTAATAAGTTTCTTAGGATCCTCAGAAAACTTCACATCAATATCCCTTTTGTTGAAGCCATCTCACAGATTCCTAAATATGCTAAATTCCTCAAGGAGATGCTAAGCAACAAGAAGAGATTGGAAGAATTCGAGACAGTTAGATTGAATGAGGAGTGCTCAACAATATTACTAAGGAAGCTGCCATCTAAGCTTAAGAATCTAGGGAGTTTTACGATTCCATGCACTATAGGTAACTCTTATTTTGATAAAATGCTCTGCGACTTAGGCGCGAGTATTAATCTAATGCCATTTTCTGTGTTTAGAAGGATGGGTATACAAGAACCCAAGCCAACTTCAATTTCTTTGCAGCTTGCTGATTGCTCGATAACGTATCCTAGGGGCATAGTGGAGGATGTCCTGGTCAAGGTAGATAAGTTCATATTCCCAGCAGATTTCATTGTCCTTGACATGGAGGAGGATGACGAAGTACCCATCATACTAAGAAGGCCTTTCCTAGACACAGAAAGAACGATAATAGATGTTCAGCAGGGGAAGCTTACATTAAGATTGAATGATGAGGAAGTAGTATTCAGAGTTTTTAATTCACTTAATCATCCCTCTACTTTTGATTCATGTAATTTTGTGACAGTTGCAGATGCTACCTCCCTCTCCCTGGATGTACCACAGGTACAAGATGAATTAATAAAAGATGCATTGGAGAGGATACTTACATTGGAAAGGAGGGATCTGCACGACCTTGAAGAAATAATAGATGAGATCTTAGCATTGAACAGTGGGGCGCCTGGAAGATGGTTCGGGCGAAGGATATTTGAAGATTTAGGAGAACACCCCCAGAAAAGAACCAAGCCATCAGTCGAAGAACCTCCTGATTTAGAACTTAAACCTCTTCCCTCGAATCTTAAATATGCCTTTTTACACCCTCTATCTCACTTACCTGTAATTATTTCTGCCAATCTGATAGGTAGCATGAAGGAGAAGCTTTTGAGAGTATTGAGAGAGAACAAGGAGGCTTTCGGGTGGAGCATAAATGACATTAAGGGCATCAGTCCTTCCATATGCACTCATAGAATTCACCTGGAGGAGGAGTTAAAACCATAAGTACAACCCCAAAGGCGATTAAATCCCAATTGAAAGAAGTAGTGAAAAAGGAGGTAATTAAGTTATTGGATGCCGATATCATATTCCCAATCTCTGATAGCCCTTGGGTGAGTTTTGTGCAGGTTGTACCAAAGAAAGGAGGGACTACTGTTATGCAGAATGAACAACAGGAGCTCATCACCGTCAGAAAGGTAGCTGGATGGAGGATGTGTATTGACTATAGGAAGCTTAACGAAGCCACCAGGAAGGATCACTTCCCTCTACCCTTTATTGACTAGATGTTAGAGAAGTTAGCTGGGCATGAGTATTACTGTTGTTTAGATGGCTATTCTGGTTATATGCAAATTCCTGTAACTCTTGAAGATCAAGAAAAAACTACTTTTACATGCCCCTATGGTACATTTGCATATAAACGAATGTCGTTTGGATTATGTAATGCCCCTACTACCTTTCAAAGGTGTATGATGGCTTTATTTTCAGATTTGTTAGAGCATTATATTGAAATCTTTATGGATGATTTTTCTGTATATGGCACCACATTTGATAGTTGTGTACATAACTTGAATTTAGTTTTACAGAGATGCAGGAAAGCTAATTTGATTTTAAATTGGGAGAAGTGCCAGTTTATGGATGATGAATGCATTGTTTTGGGACACAAGGTGTCAGGAAAAGGTATTGAAGTAGACCCTGCCAAGATTGAGGTTATTTCTAAACTACCTCCCCCTACAAGTGTCAAGGCAGTCAGGAGTTTTCTAGGGCATGCTGGGTTCTATAGGAGGTTTATACAAAACTTCTCAAAAATAACAAAACCCCTTTCTAAATTATTGGCTAAAGATGTAGAGTTTAAATTTGATGAAACATGTTTATCTGCTTTCATGAAATTAATAGAGAAATTAATAATTGCTCCTATGATTGTGGCCCCTGACTGGTCTTTACCTTTTGAGCTAATGTGTGATGCTAGTGATGCAGCTGTGGGAGCAGTTCTAAGACAAAGGCAAGATAAGGTGTTTCAGGCCATTTACTATGCAAGTAAAACCTTAGATGACGCTCAGCGTAATTACACCGTTACAGAAAAAGAATTAAGGGTTGTTATCTTTGCATTTGATAAATTTCGTTCTTATTTGATAATGTCCAGAGTTGTTGTCTTTACTGACCATTCTGCCATCAAGTATTTGTTGTCAAAATAGGATGCTAAACCAAGGATTATACGGTGGATTCTTCTTCTTCAAGAGTTTGATGTAGAAATTAGAGACAAGAAAGGGAGTGAAAATGTTGTAGCAGATCATTTGTCTCGATTAGATGCTTCAGTAAGGGAACCCACGGTGAAGGAGATCAAGGATTCTTTTCCTAATGAGAGGCTCCTCGCAATCTCTAAGGCACCTTGGTATGCGAATTTTGTAAACTATTTGGTAGGTAATGTAACTCCTAAACTACTTGACAAGCACAGGCTTAGAAAGTTTTGGTCTGATGTGAAGCATTATATTTGGGATAAACCTTATCTCATTAAGATTTGTGGGGACAATATGATTAGGAGGTGTGTTTCAGAGAGTGAAGTTAATGAGATTCTTAACCATTGCCATTCTAGGGAGGTGGGAGGTCATTGTGGCCCATCGAAAATCGCTCATAAGGTCATGCAGTGTGGTTTTTATTGGCCTACTTTGTTTAAAGATGCTCATTTATATGTTAAGTCGTGTGATAGGTGTCAAAGAAGTGGAAATATATCTAGGAAACATGAAATGCCTCTTAGTAATATCTTAATTTGTGAATTATTTGATGTCTGGGGCATAGACTTCATGGGGCCTTTCCCCAAATCCATGCATAATGAATATATATTAGTAGTTGTTGATTATGTTTCCAAATGGGTAGTAGCTGTAGCATTACCCACCAATAATACTCGAGTTGTGATTAAATTTTTAAAGAAAAATATTTTCACCAGATTTGGCACCCCTAGAGCTATTATTAGTGATGGTGGCACCCATTTTTGCAACAAACAATTTGAAGCTCTTTTGACAAAATATGGTGTCACCCATAAGGTGGCCACTCCATATCATCCCCAAACTAGTGGGCAAGTTGAGATATCTAATAAGGAATTGAAAAGAATTTTAGAGCACACTATTAACAACTCCACGAAAGATTGGTCTCTAAAATTGGATGATGCACTCTGACGAGCATGGCATGCTTGCATTACAAGCACGACTGTGCTGTCAAGGAGAACGGTCGTGCATGTTCACTTAGACTAACATTGGCTATATATTTTTCTTGCAGAAAATGCCTCCTAAAAGAGCTCGTGAAGGCACCTCCACTATACCAACAGCGTACGAGATTCAGTTTCAAGGTGACTAGGGTACAGTAGAAGGATACCGCAAGCGCCTGGACACTTTGCTAGGTTTCGAGCTCCTCCCAACATACTATTTGGATGAGAATGTTCTTCAAGAACATGGTCTGTGGGAGGACGTCTCCAGATACATTGCAGCCATAGGATGGAAAGGCGTCTAAGTTGTGCGAGCACTAACATACAGGGAGCCAGTCTTGGAGTTCCTAAGCTCTATCACATACATCAACGACTTACGGGTGCGTTTCCACATGACCACCCAGCGCGACATGACGTTGGCACAGTTCAACGTCCACTACCGATTTGAGACAGAGGAGTCAGTCCAGGCAGAAGCATATAGAGAGGCATTGGTAGAGATTCCTCCAGGCTATTCTAAGGACAAAGCTTGGCAGGAGATTACTGGCACCCATGACGTCTACAGGGCCTGACTCGCGAAGAGCACAGCCATTCGAGACCCAGCTCTGTGAGTGGTCCACAGGTGGCTTGTGCATTCTATTTTTGCACGTAGCCAGAGCACAGATAATGTTAGCTCTCACCACCTATTCATTTTGTGGTGCATACTTCACCAGCGCCGCGTCAATGCGAGGCGATTTCTTCTACTATCATGCATGGGCCTAGGAGCACGTCTGATATGGAGTGGTTGATGTTAATTGTAGATTACTGCTTCAATCAAATGAACCATTCATATTAGCTAAGCAAGCACAACAAGTATACTATACGAAAAACCAAGTAAGTGGAGTAGAGTTAATGACCAATGGTGGACAGCTTGTAAGGTTAGAGCAAAACTCTTCATGGATGAGTCATTTAAGTCTCTTGGTGAAGTATCTAATGAG